GCCTCGCCCCCACCCTGTCGCGGTCGCCGTCGCCGTCGCTGTGACCGCGCTCCCGGCCTCGCAGCTCCGCTGGGCAATAACGTTATTCCACACACGCCCCACACATAGCGGTAACGGCGGCGAGCGGCCGCCCAGTGCGCAGGCGCCTGGGGAAAGGGCGAGGAGCCCGGCCCTATCCCCGGCCCCCGCTCAGACCCGGCGAGCCCTCACTGCGCAGGCGCCGAAAACAGACAATGAAAAGGGCTCGTGCGGAGGGTCTCACCCGCAGGCTTTCCCAGCGGCCTACTGCGCAAGCGTGCCGCAAAGACCCGCCGGAACAATGGAGAGGACCCCGGCCGAAGCGGGGACCGCAGCTAACCAGGACTACAGTTCCCAGCGGGCAGCGCGCCAACTCCAAGCGGAAGTCGCGTTGCCGGGCATGCTAGGATGTGTAGTGTCAGCCGCCTTGCAGAATCTAGGCTCCTTGGAAGATCTAGAACGTCTTTCTCTTGAGGATTTACTTGGCCGGTTTGACAAATGTCACGGCTGAAGCGTGTGGAGCTTGTGACTTGCGTCTTTGAGAGGCTTCAAGGATCGAATGCTTAGTAGCAAATCTAGAGGGAGGGGTCAAGGCCTTCAGCGAGCCTTTCTGTCAGTTGGGTGGTCCAAACAGCAGGATGGGACCGGGGCTGGCCTAAGCCGGGAGAGGGGCGGAGCCTCCAAGCGGTCGCTCGGCAACCGGATCTGGCAACCTAAAGGTCCGAAGCCTGCGCTCGGGCGCGGTGCCCTCTGGGAGTTGTAGTGCCGTTGGAAGGGCACTCGGGGACATCGAGACTGCAAGCCCGGAGTCTGAACCACAAGTCCCGTCATCCGTCGGGAGGGCCGGTGGGTGGGCAGAGCCCCTAGGAGCGCCGTCAGGGGTTCCGGGCTGCCCAGTGACAGCGGCGGCAGGAAGCAGGCGGGTTCTGCCAGGGCACTGAGGCCACCGGATCTCCAAGGGGAGAACCCTGGGCACTGTCCCACGTAACTCGCCTCCCTGGGCTCCGAGCCCGGGCATGGCGAAGTCCCTGGAGGACTCTGCCCTGGTGGAGATGTTTGGGCAGTACCAGCGGAGTCTCCGGGGTGAGTTGCCCCGAACCTCTGTGCATAGCCCCTCGGTGCCAGGGCCCGGGGGGCGGGAGCTGGCCAGGTACCCTTCCTCACACCGCGGATCGGCCCCACGGGATGCGGAGGAAGAAGATGGATGTTGCTGTGATTTTGGAGGAAGGATGAAACAGTTGGTGTTTGTGTTTCCTGCTGACCGATGGCGTTTCCCCTGATTCTGTGGTTACCTGAGCCGACTCTGATCTTGGCCCAGGCGTGTTTCTCATCCAGCGCCCGCGGGAGCTGTGCCACTTTTGCCCAGTTCCCATACTTTGCTCTTTATTCCAATGAGTTCCCGACTCACACTTTTACACCTTCACATTATGGTGCATTATGGTGGGTTGAATGGGGTTTCTTGGACCAGGAGAAACAACAATACTAATGATTATTTTCATCACAACAGCTCTGTTTAGTGGTCTGGGCTATTTCCATACGTTAAATCATTTAAAAACTTCCAACAGCCTTATGAATAGCCTTATTTTACACTAAGGGAGATCGAGATGTTAAAGACATTAAGTTAGGGCGAAGCCCACACAAAGGCAGAGCCGGGTATTAAATTCAGTCAGGCCTGTTTTAAAAGCCTGTGTTTTCCTTTATTAACCACATCAGTATTACTGTTACTGAAGCCTTATTTAGTTAATTCAGATTTTCTTAGCATCGTGCTATGAGTGAGTATCTATGGAAGTGAAGTCCATAATTGTAGATAGCTCGGGCATCTTGGACATCATATATAACATCTAGAAACCTTAGTTCTGTTATTTTAAAGTTATGGTGTTGTATGCAGGGTTATTGTAAGGAGCAAATGAAATAATCCATGTAAAGCAATAATTTTCAGACCTTTTTATTTTACTGTTACTCATCAGTAAGAAATACACTTTATATGGGGGATATATATATATATATATTAAAAGAAAAGTTTCATTAAAGAGTATTATACTAGATGTAATACACTATTTTCTATTGTGTTTTTGTGTTCCATTTTCTTAACCCTCTAGGTCATGACCAACCGTTTAAAAAAATTAATTAATGCATATAGAACACTGACTCATTTATTAATCGAGTGCCTACTATGTGTTAGGCATACTAAGTTGCTGGGGATACAATGGGGAACTAGACCAAGTCCCTGTCCCCTTGGAGCCTCTGGATTAGTAGGGGAGAAAGTCAACAAACAAATAAAATAATTACAGTTTCAATGGCAGAAAATGAGGTTGAAAATGAGGTTGGCACCTGAGAAGCACCCATTAAATGGTAGCTGCTATGTATAATTGGTACTTGCAGCAAAGAGAGGATTTTTCAAGGAGATTAGAGAGTTTATTTTCAAGTGACTCTAGACTTTGTAAGAGTTATTATTTATTGTTCCCATCTGTCAGTGTTAGAAACTGTCAACATTCTCAGTACTAAAACTGCAAGAGTAAAATAATTGGTCTTAATGAATGCCTTCACACCCTACTAATGTGTCAAGAACTGTTAGATACAGAAATATGCAATCCTAACTTTTTATTTGAAAGCAAGAAAAACATTGTGCACAATGATACATGAGAGATTTTGTTTAATTTCTGAGGTTGGGTTGGCAAAAATTTTTGTTTGGCATTGTCAGTGTCTCCTAATGTTCCTCCTTTGACCTTATTTTGAATTTTCATGTAAGCATCAGAGTGCATTTAATATGAGGCATTTTGAAGCAATGGTTAATTTCAAACTAATGTTATAGTACTATTTTAATACCATGATGCTGCTGTTAGTAATTATAAAGTGAAGGGTTTTCATTCAAAACTAATACATTTAAAAATAAATTTTAACGATATAAGATAGTGAAAATGTTTAACAAACCAAAGAAAAAAGTTAACTTAAAAAAAAAATTTAGTGATAGTTTTAACGATGAATCAAGAAGTGAAACCTGATTTTCCATGGTTTTTCAGGACTTATTTTATTGCATTTTTATTTTTATGGGAGGAAATGGAAGGAAACAAAACAGCCAATTCTGAAGCAAAGCATATCAGAAGTTCTTTACTTCATACAGATAAATTACCACTAACAAACAGGATAATTCCACTAAAGTCAAAATGTGTGTTTCTGAATAAACAAAGTATGGTGACATTATTTTACATGGGGAAACTTCATGATTTTGCGTGTTTGTGCCTAATAACTTGAGAATTATGTTACTATGCAGTCAGATAAAATGCAAGTTAAAGTTCTTTTGTATGGCTTTGTGTTGGTTTTGTTGCTTTGTTTGGTTTTGTCTACCTGCCATTTCTTCCCCAAAATGTCTTGCCTGGTTCATGATTAGAGAAAAAGCTAATAAGAATGCTTGGTCTTTCCTCACAAGTTATTCCTGTGGTTTCTAAAGAACTGTACATGCAATCATTACTAATATCCTGTCATTTATATTCAGCCAAGAAGTAGCCACATAAAAATGCAAAGTGCTTTCACAATTTCCCATGCTAGTCTCTCATTTTTTTTTCATCCTTTGCTTTAAAGATAATTTTGTAGTAAATGAAGAATTTGAAGTTCTGATGTGAAAAGCACAGGCAGAGCTCTTGCTTTTGAAACTTGAGTGGACGTCTTGTCTCCTTCACTCTATGACCCTCAAACAGCCATGGACATAGGGAGCCCATTTGCAGACTCCCCCCTCATCCTTTCCCTTACACTTTTCAGATGCATTCCTTTTTTGTCCCCTGTAGGGATATCTCCTGCTTTGGTTTGTCTGAGCCCCCACCGTAAGAAATTGGAGAGATTTAACGACATTCCTTCAAAGTAAGAGTTCTAGAGGGAAAAAACAAAAACTGGAAGACTTCATTGCCCCAAATACGTGTAATATCCCTACACAGTAAATGATATAAAAGCTTCCAGTGTGGTAAAAGGTGGGCATATCCGAGGTATAATGGGAGTCACTGAGTTGAATATAGAGCTGAAACTGACTTGGAAGGGCTCCTGGCAGTAAGAGGGGGTGTTCATTCACTCTATAGACAACTATAATTCAAGACCCCCAGAACGGCTGAGAACTCTATTGGTACCAGGAGAATAGCAAATGCTTCTCTAATTTAATGTCAATACATTGTACAAGACCATAAGGTATAAAATAAACTAGTTTGTAGCTAAGAAAGGATCAGGAAACACCCCCCTCCCCCAAACACACAGAATAATGGGCCATCCAGGCTGTTTTAAGTTCTGTACACTTGAATGTAGGGGTATGATATTAGAAAGAAGGCAAGAACTTGCTAGAAATGCAGTGTCCCAGCCTCAATAACAGAATCATGTCTAGTTGTGGACACAGCTTTATCAACACCTGTGTATGTGACTCACCTATCCACCTGGCTCCTAGCCACCTTAGGCTGGGCAGGCCTAAAGAAACATGAAACAAACTTGTGCAGCGACAGGAACACATCATTTCTTTTCTGTATACATTTTATATCCTGGCTCCCCCTTTTGATTTCAACATTCTGGTGTTTCAGGCTCTAGACCGAATCTGTGGGAGATGGTGATGCAGTCAGAGGGAGAGAAGGTGGAGCTAGGCGCCAGATCACTAACTCTTACTGTTGTTTTGCCAATAACCATCTGTCACCTTAGGCAAGTTAATAAACTGTTCTTGGCTCATGGTCTTCATTTATGAAGTAACGTTGGGACTAGATTTGGGAAGTACTTCCTTTTGGAGCCGAACAGATGACAGAGTGTGTGATGGAGTCAGTGGAAGACACGAGGGAGGGGTGAGGCTTGTGGCAGAACTGGACAGTTTATACTGACTCTAAAATCAATCCAATTTCTCCCTTGCTTCCTCCTTTCCTTCCTTCCCTTCCTATTTTCTCCTCCCTTCCGCACCGTTCCTTCCAAACAAAACACGGCTGAGAGCCTGGTTCCCACTCCAGGCATCACTCGCAGACCCCTGGATCTCTGATGTTCCTTCCGTCAACACTGGATTGGACCATGTGAATGATAATGATTATGTTTCTCTCTAGTGAAAAACAACAGTAAAGAGTGGAAACTAGTTCATAGAAAGTGAAAGGTTGAAAATGGAAATAAAATTATAATGTGTGGGGGGGATCCTGTTCTTTGTAAATGGATCTGACTTGAGAAAACCGAAGATAAGGTCAATGTCCTGTGTTTTTCTTGTATGTGATTGGAGCATCTCCCCAGAGCCTACAAAGTGTGTTTTGCCTTCCAGCGAAGGGCTCACATCTGCAGAAGGCCTGTGTGAATCTTACTAGCCAATAATTTGCTCACGGAATTAGTCAACGGTGATATCATCTGGGCCTTTGGCAAACTTACAAAAATATGTGTGCAACTTAGGCAAAAGGTCGTCTTTATCTCAATTTTACTCCTCAAACTTGTCTTTCTTCTGTTGCTTCTCCTTCCACCCTCCTTCCCCTCCTCCTTCAACTCTGCCTCCTTTGCTTCCTTTTTGCTCTTCTCGAATGTTCTCTGAATATTTTTATATTCTACACACACACACGTTCTCCACAGCTAATGTTTGCTTATTTGTTTGTTTTACTCTCATCGGCCTCATTGAGACCAAGACAGGCAACAATATGATAAACTGCTGGAGCATTTGTAATGAAATGACAAAATTATTTTGGTAATTCAGTGCAGCCTGAAACATCTCTGTTTTCTAAAAATCAAAGAAATGGAATGGTTTGGCTATTAAATAAGGATTGGTAATGCAAATAAAACTTGTAAACATCTGAGTTCATAAATAAGTATTAGTAATGCAAATAAAACTTGTAAACATCTGAGTTCATTTTTTGCTGATAAAATTTAAATTACTTATATTCATTTTATGCTTTATGTACTCATATGGCTTTTCTTAATAATTTTAACTTTTATGACCATTTTTTCTAATCAGAATAAGAAAAAGCCAGGAAAATTCCAGTTTTCTTTCTCTACCACTGATGAGATGAAATAGGCAAAAGATAGGACTTAGCATCCAAAAAAGTAACTAATCATTTGCTAACATCATCTAGAATCAAACACGGTTTAGTGTTATGAAA